ATACTTTTAGTTTTGCTACTATGTTGGTATCCATTGTGATTAATGATCACTCACAGGAATAAAGGAATGCTTTCCATCCTTGCAACAGAACAGAGAATGTGCAACCATGTTTGACTGATAAAGTGCTTTGCCTCTGTCGAGTAGGCACGTTGGAGTTGGACCTCCATGGTTTCCCTCGAGGGACAAAGACTGCAAAGTCGTGTAAAGTGGACATGTTGACGGACGGGACAGACAGAATCTCCATCTTCCAGCAGAAGAGATCGAGAGGCTGGTGGCCCTTCACCAAAGCTGGAGAGCTGACGGTACGTACACACACACACACACACACACACACACACCACACACACACACACACACACACACACACACACACACACACACACACACACACACACACACACACACACACACATACACACACACACACACACACACACACACACACACACATACACACATACACACACACACACACACACACACACACACACTGCACAAAACAATGCTGTGTCTCAATGTGCGTAATTGTGCACTTACTTTTGCTGTTTCGAGTACTTAAGTGCGTTCCAATGTGAAGTATGATGTTGTAGTGATAACCGTCAACATGTTATCAAACTCAAAAAATGTCATAGTATATTTTGTGGAAGATATAATGAAAAAATACTGTGGTGTGTTAAAACATTTGAAATTAGTTATAGAATAGTTTGTCAAAAATATCACGTCGTACTACAGTGACAACGCTAGATGTACACACGAGATGTACACAGTGCCCAATAGTTCCCAGACTACAACTTTGACTCACAGTTGTGAAAACGTTGAATTAATGTGTTATGTGCTCTTAATCCATCAGGGAAAAGTGGAGGCGGAGTTCCATCTTGTGACAGGGGAGGAGGCTGAAAAAAATCCAGTTGGCAAAGCACGCAAGGAGCCGGAGCCGCTTCCAAAACCAAAGTAAGAGTCTGGCTGTATTCTCTCTACACACAAATCTAATCTGGTTTGTTTGTGTGTTCTTTCTCTGAAGGTTTGTGTTGCTTTAATAGTGTGGATTTCAGAGGTAGTAGCTTAAGAGAACACACAGAGTAAATGTGTTAAAAGGAGATATACATAAACATGTGTCCCCTCTGTGTAAAGAGATTCTGAAAGTGTCAGGAACAAAGACCCCCTCTCTTTTTGTCCTGATCCATTTATATAAAAACCTGTCTGAAAATGAGCTGATCAGATTTTGGCCACTTTATGATGTCATAACGATTTTTTGGCTTGTGTAACCATTAGCCAATCACCAACCAAGATAACCCCCCCCCCCCTTATCACCTGAATCTCCTCCTAGAGCACCATTGTGTTCTTTTTAACCAAATATCTCTCAGAGGGGCGTGGGGAGGGGCTCCTTATTTTCATCTAAAGTAACAGACAGAGAATCAGCACTTTGGAAACAGGGCTGAAACAGAGGGGATTATGGGATGCTGCAATGATCTGTTTGGTGTTTGGAGCCAAACACTTCAGAGACATGTTTTGTATATATCTGAGACCTATAATATATTGATGAAAGACAGTATAATAGGGGACTTTTAATACTAAAACTGTGATGAATCTGAAAATATGCCCTTCTCATGATTTTGTTGAGTCCATTAATATTCAAGGCATTATGAATACCTTTGATCTGGGTTAACCTCTGCACATGTTTGGAGTGAAGCTGCCAACATAAAGGGGACAAGATGGGCCTGGTTGCTCCCTGTGTATCAAAAATAACCATACAGTTATACACTCTCTATATAGTACACACTATACAGTACACAAAAAAGTCATAGTATGTCAAACATTTTTGAAAGAAAGTCATACTATACTATGTCGACATTAAACTTGACTTTTTTTACATACAACACTGACTTTTTATGACATCTCGACATCTTAACAATGAGAATTAACAATTTCTTCACACTATTTTTCGATTTTCTTTTAAATCAGTTATTCTTGTGGATGCTTTTTGTATTCTTTTTCATTCAAGAATAAAAAAACTGTCCAACATTTAATAAAAACGAAATACTTTAAAGTGTACTAATGCTGTCAAATTCTCCCTCCTCCTCTCCCGGCCCCCAGTCGCCCTGACACCTCCTTCTCGTGGTTCGTCAATCCTTTCAAGTGTTTCTTCCACTTGGTGTGGCGGAGCTACAAGAAGTACATCATCATCGCCTTGGTGCTGCTCATCGTCATGCTGTTCCTCGCCCTGCTGTTCTACACACTGCCATCAGCCATTTCTCAGAGGATAGTCAATGGATAACACACGCTAACATTTTATTTTAAAAGAATGGATGACTTTTAGACGATGCAACTCCCCCTTCCTCTCATGACAGCCCAAGAAAAACGTAGGCAGCTTCTACAAAGTCTTATATACCAAGTTGTAAAGGGACAAACCTGGTTAAGTGCCCATCTTTAAAAACATATATAATAAAAATATGGATATACATGGTCAGTCCCTTTTGTTTTGGATTTGTCTTGACTTCAGTAGGAACAATTAGTCTTTGGGCTAAGGCTATGTAGATATTCTTTAAAGTGGACCTATCATGCTATATTATAATAATATAGTGTAGGACCATACCTATATAAGGCATATTTATACCAAACAGATCATGCATTTTAGCCATGCCTCATTTTGCTCAATTTGCACTTTTTTACCCGTTTTTGCAAGAGCTGATTCTGTGAGAACAGCACCACCTACAGGTAGGGATGGGTATCGTTAAGGTTTTAACGGTACTACTACTTTTATCGATACCGCTTATCGGTCCGGTCTTTTAACGGTACTCTTATCGGTTCTTTTGGAGAGAAAAATGAGGTAAACGAACTATATGTTGTATGTCAGGGACTACGAATGGAAATTAGCTCAAAGCTAAAATCCGGCATATTTACACTTGAAGCATTATTTGTCTAAAGTGTTCATTAATGTGCATTGTCCCTATTCAAATAAACGATTAAATGACAAATGAAAATAAACAAATTGTGAACAAAACTAACATTGCTTTTTATTTAAATTAAATACATAATATTTCACATCAAAAGAAACAACAACGTTTTAACAAATGGTATTAAATAATGTGATGACAGAACTGTGAACAGAATGGCTGAAACTTTAACAAACTAAATAACTCAGTTACCTCTAATCATCAACCCATGTTTTTGTATCATTGAGTTAGCTCCGTGTGTTGCTGCTAGCATACATAACACCTGACGTGGAAACGTTACTCGTGGATGGGGCTACAGAGCTACTAGAGAGACAGTCGAACCCGGTGCATTTCTCCGTCTGAATGTGGAGCACTTTTGCTAAATGTTTAGACAAATTGCTCGTGTTACAGCCCTGACATGCTAAACTCTTATTGCACTTTAGGCAACGAGCGAGACGGGTAAAGTTTAACCACACCTCGGAACGCGTTCTCTCCGCCATCTCCTCCGTGTGTGTGTGTTGCTGCATGTAGCAGCTGCGTGTGTGTAAACTGCCCCGCCCCCTCGCACACAGGCGGGGGAGAGAGATCTCTCGTCTGGATTGGAGAGATCGAAAATACTAAAAATGACGCATTTTGCAGTCTTTTTGCGTGTTAGAAACGGAGTTGGCGACACTAAAACTGCAATATAATGTTTGTGTAGCAATAATACACATGACATATTTTTTAGATGTCTCCAGTACCGATAAAAAGACCGATAACGTCGGAGATTAACGGTACCACGGTCTTTAATAATTCAGCCCCGGGGCCCGTTTAATACCGGGGCTCGGTACCCATCCCTACCTACAGGCCTGGCATATGTACTACAGCGTCTCCAGCGCTTTCGAACAGCAATGGCCGTGGCTGTCTCCTCCTGATTGGTGGAGTTGGCCCAATAGCCGTAGCGCCACTGTCCTGACGTCAGGACAGTGTTCAAATCTGGATCAGTCTGTATCAGATCCGTTGCAGCCCCTTTTTTAGAGATTTGGGTATGGAGGAAAATAGAGAGGGTTGTGTTTTCTGACACTTGGTGAGTTCCCTGGAACACCGGGGACACATATTCATGTATAAAAGACGTACAAAAGTGCATTTTGCATGATAGGTCCCCTTTAAGATTTGACAGACGAACTAGATATCTTTAAATGGAAATTGTAAAACAAAAACATGGAATATTGCCAGCATATTACAATTCAGAGTTTTTGAAGTCTCAATACATTGATAACATGAAGTATGTTAGGGTTAATAATCCCTGGCCTTCATCGTCTTCCTAGGGTTTAATGGTTATCAACTCAATTTCAATCAGGAGAGACGGTTTTAATGTAAGAATACATATTTATTGCCAGGAATACACAAATGAATGTAATGGAGTTTTGGCGATTAGGCCCCGTTGTGCAGGAGTATCATTCGGGAGGGGAGAACCGATCCGATGAAACCCCCCGGGGTCTAAACACTGGTGGTGGTGAATGGATCGTTAGGTCCGGTCTGAAGGGGAGTGGCTTGGCTTGACCCTGGATTCAGAGGGACAGGAGGTGAAAAGGGGGGTGGAGGAGGGTTGCGTCGAGTCACCTGAAATGACAGCTGTCAGAGGGGAGAGCAGATTTATAAGGTTTAGCGGAGCGCTATGATAGGCTTATGAGAATAGAGCGAAGTGATTGGTTAAGCTGGGGAGTGACGCCCCCGATCACTTATTGAGAGGAGAGAGAGTAGTGACGTAGACATAGTAAATGAATGAGTAAAGACGGTCTTCCTGGTTGAACTTGCGCTGAGCTTCATTTGTCTTCCAACAACTGCTTGCGCTGAAGCACTTTCACACACAATGAGAATCATGGCTTTTATCTTACATCTTTTACAATGTAGTCGAAGTGCAAAAGTGCTTTACAACCCAAAAAGCTCTTTCAGCGTATTGTAGTGTTATCTTAGTGATGTTCAAAGATAAAAACCTGTACCTGTACTCCTGTACTCCAAACGTATCTACATATGTTATATTAAGGAGGAGTGTGGCTTTGTCAAAATAAGAGTTCAACACAGAGCTTCTTTTAGCTGCCTTTTAATGTCACTGAACACAGGCTTCTCATTTTGATCTGGTGATTGCCAATCTTCAGTTTATTTTAGACAAACTACAACATATTGAATTCTTATTAGCAGCCTCAAGTCTTTGCAATACTTTTCCGGCAATTTCTTTGTGTATTACACATTTCAACTCCAACACAAAGTGCAAAAAGTACAGAAACCCCTTTCTTGTCTAGACCAGCGGTTCCCAACCTGTGGGCCGCGGCCCCCTAGTGGTCCGCGAAGGCATTGCAAGTGGGCCGCCAAATAAGAAATCAGAACTTCATTTAGCCGCTGGTCTAGACTTTTAAAAGACAGTAACATGCATTTAAATAAACAAAATCATATATTATTCATGTTGCATTATACATGTATCAAACAAACCTTTAATTTTAAAATAAATAAGCACTAGGCATGTACAGGAAAGCTCAAGATGACTTACTTTGAAGGTTTTTACATATATACACATTTGAAATCATTTCCTGTGTATAGGATATTTTTTACATACGGTTTTACAATTATTTTTTTAATCAAACAGGGATAAGCTTGTACACAAGACTGGTTGTTTTGTGATGGAAAGGTAAGAAAATTACAACAAAAGTCTCAATGATTAAGTGTCTGATTGACCTTTCCTGAACACCAAACATGACATATTTGACAAATACATTCGTAAAAACCTCTGATCTCACTGCAAGATATCCGTGTCTGTCAGAGAGATGCTCTGCTGCAGTAAGCTGACCTGGGGGTAGGAAGAGGATGAATATGTCACAGTGTGTTGATGTGGGGCCATGTTGGGGCCCCTGAGGAGGGGAGAGGAGGAGCAGGAGGAGGGAGTGAAGGGGATGCTGTTTGCCGCATGCAGCTTCGACATGTTGAGGAAGTTGTTGGACTGAAGCATCTGTCTCTGCTGACTGTTGGAGGTGGCAGCTAAAAAATAAAGATGGCAATTTATTAGTTTAAAAATTGCAGACGTGTTTTCTGGCCTTCACTTCAAAAACAATATGAACTAATCCTGTTCGAATTGGGCTGAAAGCTGGGCTTGTGGTCATTAACCACTCTTTAAAACAACTTTAGATGTATATATATATATATATATGTATTCATTTTTATAATTATATTCACTTATATATTTGAACTCATTTACTTCGTGTTTGAACTGTTATTATTGTTGTTATTTTTAAGTATACATAATTGTATTTGTTTCACTCTTATTGTCAATGTTATTCTTACACCTGAATTTCCCTAAGCACTCCCTTGGGAGAAATACACCTGCAAAGACAGTTGCCACACATCCAAGTCGTGTCTCCTAACAGTCATACACACCAGGTAAATATACTCTGGATGGCGCGAAAATGTTATAAACAAACTTTGCGCGAGACTTTGAAAGCAGGAACTCAAAACTGTGTTACTGAGGGTGCATCTTACCGCAGGTCACTCTGAGCTGCTGATGCTGGCTGCTGATAGGAAAACCAGTTTGACAAAGACCTGCAGCGCCATCAGGAGCCTAAGAATGAGAAAGACAAAAACGACAGGCTTCGTCTTATTGGGAAGGAAGGTTATTGTATGCAAGTGATACTTGTGGGTAGTAGTGGGGTCTGTAGATAGCAGCGTACTTCTTAATTATTCAAAACTAAACCGTGTAGCAGATACTGTGCAGTCAATAACGTATTGACCTTTAAGTCTCAAGCAGGATCTGCTGCTCAAGTGTTAGTGGCGGTATCACTTCCTAGCTTGAGTGTGGTCACTTACAGCACTGAAGATAAGTGGTGCGATTTCATGTTAGCTTCTCTAACACAGAGAAAATCACTAAAAGTATCCCTGAAGGCCTCATTTAAAAACAGACAAAATAGAAAACAGAAAAAAATAATTTTCATGCAAGTCCACCTGAAAGACAAGTTTGACAAATGTTTTTCTAGAGATAATTAATAATTAAATAGAACACTTCCACGAGTCGGAGACTTTGTTTTACATCATGCACTCCTTTCTGTGATAAAGCAGTCATTACTGACCGGAGCCTGGTTAACACAGGCCTGGAGTTTCCTTTTCGCTCTCCATCTGGCCACTCTCAGTCTGGTCTTCTCTCGGCGCTCGCGTACCTTCAACAGAACAAAATATATTTTCTATTCAATATAGAGAAATGTAAGAAGACACTTTGATAGAAAATGGCACTTTATACTCCACTATCTTTAAAAGTGTGTATATGTCACAAAGATGTAGCCTGTTTATCTCAGCTTGTCTTATTGTCCACTGAAACCTGCTCCTTTTTAATTATGCATACATTGTAAGGCTAAGCTTATGACTAGCATTCTTTTTTTTACTCTTGTTGAATTCTCAGTCTTGCTGAAACATTATACAGCCTTTGGTTCACCATGTACAAAACAAACCTTTACATATATTTGTAAATAGGACGTTCAATAACCTAAAAGCATGGATGACTATTGGTATGATGACATCTGACTGTACCCAATCGAGGCAGGAGATACCAAGCTGTTCAGCAGTGTGAGTGTGTGCTTGCGTCCGTGCGTGCGTGCGTTCGTGCGTGCGTCTGTAAGGACAGGGTCAGGTCAACTAACCAGGTCTGCAAGCATCGGCTGAGGCAGCGTCTTCTCCAGCTCTCTGCGTCTGTTGATGCTTCGCTTGCGGAGCTCATTCCTGCGCAGCTTGAAATCTTCGTAAAGACTGAGGTCTTTAGTCCATGGCCGCACCGCCTGGCGATGTGGGATACCTGATGGTAAATAACCCATGGACTGCAGGGAGCTCAAAGGCTGAGGCATCAGATCTGAGAGCAAACACACAGAGAGGTTTGCAGTGATTGGGATTTTTAACATATAGATGCAGATCAATATATCATGTAGCTGATTTATATATCAATGGCATCTTGTTTTTATACAAGTGATCAATTCTGCTTTGTTTGGCCAGGGGGAGTCAAGTAGGGAAACATCATCAAGAGCATTTTTTTTTTTTTAAACTAGCCAAGCAGTCTCAGAAGCATGTGCTCACACTCTCATACACAGATGTACTCACCAGTGCATGGTCCTGCTGAGCTGTAGGCTGCAGAGTTATTTCTCTGACTCTCTGGAAGTCCTGACCACTCCGTCACTGACCTTTGAGTCTGGAGGAAGTGAGAAAAACATTCATTTCTTTCAAGAGTTTCTTTTAAATAGTGATATTCAGTGCATTATCAACATGTTTATGTAAAATTAGGGATCTTAATTATCTAACTTTGATACTCTATTTCTAAAGAAAAACCATGCAAGGGCTGCAAAGCACTCTGGTCCATTGTCTACACCCACTGGGGGGGGGAAATGGCAATGATGTGCTTGATTGACAGTTGAAACTATCAGAGGCAAAAACAAAAAAGTCCAAAACTAACTTATGAAGAGAGTTATTATTTTTTATTATTATTATCTTCTTAACAATTTAGGGAAAACACTCTCACAAGAACTCAGGTGCTGACCTTGTTTTGTCAGATTGAATATTCAGCTCTCGCCTCACCTCTGGCTCTGGAAGATGACCCTGCTGCAGCTGGCAGTCCAGCAGAAGGTCGGCCATCACATCCTGCTCTTCCTCTGGCTCCACCTTTATGCAGATCTCCTCCTCCTCCTCCTCCTGCTTCACCTGCATTACACCAAGAAACAACAAGGACTTTAGGACTACGATAAGAAAACACAGTGTAATACCTCCAGTCGTTTTTTCTGGCACAATTAATGTCGCAATTCAGACTCCAGAGACTGCTTTGGATATTGTGACTATGCAAGGACAAGTACTCCAAGTGGTTAGCTATTATAAATACCTTGGTATCTGGCTTGATGATTGTCTTACTTTTAAACTTCAGGTCACTAATCTGCTTAAAAAGCTGAGGGTTAGATTAGGTTTCTTTTTCAGAAACAAGTCCTGTTTCTCTTTTGAAGCCAGGAAAAGGCTAGTCACTGTGACCTTTTTACCTGTGCTAGACTATGGTGATTTGTTGTATATGAATGCACCTGCCCATTGCCTGGAAAGGTTAGATGCCGCCTATCACAGTGCTCTGAGATTTGTTACTAACTGTAAAGTACTTACTCATCACTGTACCCTGTATGCCAAGGCAGGTCTGCCTTCACTTACTGTTCGGAGGCTCAGTCATTGGTACATGTTCATATACAAAGCCATGCTGGGTAAACTACCTTCTTATATCTGCTCTTTGATCTCACGGAGAGTGGCAAGTAGCTATTGCCTGAGATCACAGGATGTGTTTTTATTACATGTGCCAAGTGCTAGGACTGTTTTAGGTGCTAAAGCTTTTATGTGCGCTGCTCCTCTAGCTTGGAACACCATGCAAAAAATATTGAAACTGAGCATTTTGATTCCCTTGCATCGTTTTAAAGCACGACTGGATGAAATATTATTGGATACCTGTAAATGTAAATAGGTTGCTAATGTATACCCCTGTAATTATGTTGTGATGTCCTTTTGTTTTCTGTTTGTTTTTATATGTGTAACTAAATGTGCCGCAGGTCTCCCTTGTAAAAGAGATCGTTGATCTCAATGGGATTTTTTAACCTGGATAAATAAAGGCTACAAACAAACAAACAATTATCTCCATCTCCTTTAGACTGATTTACTTATTTTGCTTTAGACTAAATTACTTTTCTTATCAATTATATGATATACTCCTACTAGTATTAAACCTCTTGAGGTATATCTAGTAACCGTTGTATCAGCAGTGTGTCCAACAACACCCCTAAGTTGTTATTATAAGCTATTATAGTCAATAAACCTGCTAAGATTTTTTTTTATTTCTCTATTTATCCGTTTACATTTCAGTTTTTATGCTACTGCAACAACCAAAGTGTCCCAAGCAATAAAGGTTGTTCTAATAAGTTGTAAAGAAACATTACAAAACAATGACACATGATGGTTAATCAATTAATTCATGCTTTTGTTGATATATTATTAGTAATGTTTTTGTAATTGTTCTTGTTTAACTCAGTTCTTCTAATATATATTTATAGAGAGCTAATCCTTGCTCCTTATGTAAAAGGTCAGGGCATGATGCAGGTTGGCCACTTCAGCACGGGTGTGTATTTATGACAAACAGTACTGCTTATGCAAAGCCAATAGGATGAAGTTTGGAAGTGTGTGGTTACTTGTGAAGCAGAGGAGTGCAGAGTGGAGCTATCGGCCTGGGTGGAAACATGAGGGGACGGTGAGCCAGCGGCTGACTGCTGCTCCAGAGCCTGGACAGGAGGAGGAACCAGGTGAGCGTCCCCTCCCTCTGAGTGTGGCTGCAGAGTGACGGTCCACTTACAGTCGTTCTCCTGATCCTTGCTGTGAGCTACGTGTCGCTCTACAGGAAAGAAAACTGCACAAACACAGTATTTTGTTCAGAGATACACAGCAACAACAATGATATTTTATCAATCCATATGCAGCTGATTCTGATTCTCGCTCGACACCTAGTCAAATTCCTCGTACGTGTGAACCTACCTGGTAATAAACCCGCTTCTGATTCTGATTCCTTTTGGTTTCCTATTCTCCATTCAGTGTGTATTCTGACTAATACTCGATTTTCCCAAATCCAGTATCCAGTATTTAACTTTTAAAAGATACAATAATAAAAGTATATAGGATAATACCTACTTTTTACATCAACAGATATCATTTATATTTTTCCAAATTAAGTTTGAAGGGAACAACATGTAGAAAAGAAGGCAGCAGTATCACGTTCACACACAAACACACACACACACACACACACACACACACACACACACAAACTCACTGGCTCTGTACCTGTGCTGCTGTCCTGACTAGATTCTGTTGGAGTGTTCAAAGAGAGTGAGACTGGCAGCAGCAGGTCAGACGTGTCAGAGCTCAGATCTCCCACATCTGAATGACAAAGCGTTCCGATTGCACGCCTGCTTGTGCTGTGTGGGGAGCTGCATTCTGGAAGCACACACACAGAAAGGAGTAAGACCCATTGGAGTGGAGGGGGCCAAATATGTGTCAGTCATTTCCATGGCCATTACCTTGATTGCTTGTTGACAGTGGTCCCTCGGGGTTCGTTATTGAGCATGATGGAGAAATCTCAGTGGAGGAAACACCTGCACCACCTCTCTGTGCTTGAAGGTAAATGGACGGGTGAATGCGGCCCAGAGTGGAGGCAGACACTCGTTGCTCCAGCTCCTCCTCCACTCCTTGCCTGTAGTATTTTAGCTTTAGCTCGGTATACCGCAGCTTGGCTCGGATGTTTTCATTCTCTTTCTCTTTTTGGGCTTTTTCCCTTTGCAATGACGCAACGTCCCTCTGCATCAGCGCCACATGGCCTTTCAGCTCCTCAAATTTGACTCCCACCACTTTTAGCATCTCAGCCAACACCGTCTCCACCGCTCCGTTCACTGCTCGCTCAACCACGGCACGCATCTGGCCTCGAATCAGCGACACGGCAATGCTGACGTCCATTTTCAAAAGACCTCTGACCAAAGAGTAGCTGGAGAACGTTCATCAAAATGTTACCTGAAACAAATACATTGCAATTAAAATTACTAGGACTGCCCCGTGTAGGTCAGTTTGGTGAACATGTATTACGCATTTTTCTTCTTTTTTTTTTATTGTGAATTACTTATTTGCATGAAACTCAGCTTTTGCATCATGCTTCTTTTTTTTTAGCTAAGTACATTTACAAGTACTGTACTTAAGTACAATTTTTAGGGACCTGTACTTTACTTCAGTATTTAAATGATGTGTTACTTTGTACTTACCCTATACCCCACTTCAATTCATAGGTCAATAGTGTACTTTAATCAACACTTAAATCAGACTGTAGGTACACCTGGAGTAAATCCACAAGCTACCCTGCAGCAAACAAAGTAATTAAAACTAGCTGCACCATGACCAGCTGTGATAAACACATTATTGCATTAATAACTATAATCTAAACATATAATATATATTATTCTGAAATGGGCCAATCTGCATAATGAGTAGTTTTACTTTTGTTACTTCAGGTATATTCTGATGCTAGTACTTTTCTACTTTTACTTGAGTAACATTTTGATTGCAGGATTGGATTGTAAAAGAGTATTCCTACACTCTGGTACTTCTACTTTTACATAAGTACAAGATCTGAGTACTTCTTCCACCTCTGTGTATATGAATGCAGGTCTTTAAACAGGTGATAAACTACGTCACAGAACCATCTTGGACCTCCGACTTGTAAAGTTGCTATGAATACATTAGTAACCTTTATAGTAATCTCCCATATTAGAAACTCTAGTTGAAAATTGTCAGACTATGTCGACTGTCGTATATACACATTAGGATGAAAGATAAAACATTGTGCTTACCTTTTATTGTTGTTGGTGATAAACAGCTTAGCCTGTTAGCTGATCGCTAACTGGCAAAAAAAAAAAGCCTTTAACAGATCGTTGGCTTCTCACAGTCTTTGTAACAGTAGCTGTCTATTCAAAAACATTGATCACTTTTATGTTTTCATTGCATTGACTCCAGTTTTATTATCAAAAGACTGTTTCTTTCAACGAAAATGTGAAAATACTTCTCAACAGCTGTGTTGTTTTACCATAACAACGGCCAAGTGTTTCCGGATGAATCTTCTTCGTTGGTTTTAATGTCAGGGTGGTTGGCGTAGCTTAAGATTCATACCGCCACCTACTGTAAAGAGTATGTAGTTGTAATAATAATAATACTTTATTTACATAGCTACTTTCATGCAAGATTCAGCCCAAAGTGCTTTACAGAGCAAGACAAGATACATACAATAACAACGAATAAAAATAGAGATTGAGGAACATGATTGAAAACAAGTTATAAAAAACAACAGAAAGGGTTGATTACAAAACCATAAAACATGAACAGTGATACCACTCAGATTAACCCAAATTAAAAGCCAAGTTTAAAATATGATAAATGAAGGTAAGAGAAAAACGAAATAAAATAAAATGTCTATATTCTACAAACCCTTGTGTTGCTCTGTGTTTAAACGCTTTCATAGAAAACAATCAGGGCTTTTATTCCTGTACTGAGATTTAGTTTTATCCTTGACTGTTTTTATTCTAAATCTGTCAAAAGTTTGACCTGGTCTTGAATTGTAAATGATCAGACATGCATAAAACAAGGCCAGCCGCAATATTTAAAATCGTTTTATTTTATAGAAACATAGAAAATATCAAAAGAGGCAATCAGGTATTGTCTTTGACAAATGGACAATGGTATTTTGAGTGTTGATGTTGAGATGCCGGACCCCCATCTTTTGATGTCCTCTATTAACTTTAATTCTCATAATCATTGAACCATTTAAGGACTGATCTCAAATAGAGGTTACAAGTCAGGGGTTATGGTCTCAGCTGTAGTTGGATTTACACCCAGTAACTGTAACAAAGTGAAGTAAGAGTAGATCCACGGTCTAGATATACCCTGCGTTTTCTCCAGACCTCCAGCCTCCAACAACAGACGCCTTTTAACGGCCAACTGCTGCTGCAACAGCGCCATCTCTCTGCAGGAACACAATTATTTAATGTCATGATACGAGAACAGAATACAACGTTTTATGGGTTTGAAACATCTGAATGTGTATGGATTTATAATATAAAATAAAGGTTGATGAGACAGAAACTTAGTGTACCTTGCAAGTTGCTCTGCCTGCAGCCTTGCTTCCTCTGCGGCCTGTAAGGTGGCCTCCTCCTCTCTCCTTTTACGCTGCTCTTCTTCGTCTCTCCTGCTCTCCTCCTCCTGCTCCTTCCTGCAGAGGTAATCTATCCTCTCACTCTCTTCCATCTCCAGAAGCTTCTTCCTCTCCTCTTCCTGCTGCCTCTTCTCCTCCAGGCGCAGACGCTCGAGCTCAGCTGGAGAGGATCAAATATAGTTTCCAGGAAATGAGATTGCTACCAGTCATGTATTTCATATGTGGCAATTCAAAGTTCAATAAGCCCTTCATCATCCGCTAAGATGCCGACCTGATGTTGCAGGAACATTTCAACAGCTGCAGCAACCTTGTTGGTGGGAATGTCTTTTTGGAAAATACATTTTCTTTGAAAGTAGACACCATGCAAAGGGTTGTTGAAGGACTGTTTCTGAGGCTTCATGTAACCCAACAAATGATGTAGTGAGACAATGTTAGTTTGAACTCTTGGCCTTTGTACGAATTAAAGGTGGGGTAGGTAAGTTTGAGAAACCGGCTCGAGATACACTTTTTGTTATATTCCATGGAATGCTCTTAACATCCCGATAGCAATGAATATCTTAAGTGCTTTGACAAAAAATCCATAAATAAATGTCATCTGTGGAAGCCGTAGTACTGTAAAAAGCACAACCAATCATTTTAGCCGGCCCGGCTAAAATAACTGGATGGCCTACCTGCCTGTCAGCCTTCCATCTGTGCACAAACTTATCTCGTGCCCTCATTGGTCATGTGCGCGTTCGTGTGTGTTGGAGGAGGGGCTCTGTAAGGAAGTGGCAGATTTTCTCCGGTCGTGTATTTTCAAATTCGTATTTGAAAATACACAACCGGAGAAAATCTGCCAGATCTGCCAAAATCTGCCAGAGGCTGACAGGCAGGTAGGCCATCCAGTTATTTTAGCCGGGCCGGCTAAAATGATTGGTCGTGCTTTTTACAGTACCACGGCTTCCACAGATTACATTCTTTTATGGATTTGTTGTCAAAGCACTTAAGATATTCATTGCTATCGGGATGTTAAGAGCATTCCATGGAATATAACAAACAGTGTATCTCGAGCCGGTTTCTCAAACTTACCTACCCCACCTTTAACTGATTAGCTCGGCATGTTAACATTATAGGGTTTCATTAGAGCAGATCACGTGAAGCACTTTTGGTCATTTTTGGACAATTTTCTGTTTGCATTTCATGATTATTCCTTTGTTTGCATGCTTTTCTCCTCCTCTCACCTTCCCTCCTCTGTTCATCCTCCTCTCTCATCCTCTGAAGTCGCTCCATCTGCCGCCTCCTCTCCTCCTGCCTCCTCTTCTCTCTTTCTCGTTGTGCTTGTTCCCGTTTCACTCGCTCCTGCTCCTCTTCCTCGTGCTTCCTCCTCTCCTCCTCCTCTGCCAGCTTCCTCCGTCTGGAGATGGACATTGACTATTCATTAATTGGCCGTTCTGTCTGTTTCAATGTTCATATGGACACTTTAATATTGTTTGAAGAAAAATAGTAGGACCTGAGCTCTTCAGCCCTCTTCCTCCTCTCTTGTTCCAGCTCACTCTTCATCCTCTCCTCCGTCTCCTCCCTCTTCTGCTGTTTTAAGTCCTCTTCCTCCCGCTCCCTCCTTTTCCTCTCCACATCCTGCCTCCGTCTCTCCGCTCGCTTGGCAAGACGCAGAGCTGCTGCCTCTTCCAGGCCATTTCTAGGCCTGGAGGACTAACACGCACACACACACACACACACACACACACACACACACACACACACACACACACACACACACACACACACACACACACACACACACACACACACACACACACACACACACACACACACACACACACACACACACACACACACACACACACACACACACACACACACACACACACACACACACACACACACACACACACACACACACACACACACACACACACACACACACACACACACACATCAAATAAGGGGAATTGAACAAGTAATGAGAACTCTTACAGCAGTACCTAATATCATGTGGTAATTGTCTGATAAACTGTCATTCAGGTGGCATTTGAAAGATTAACAACATGTCAGTGAAACACATGAAAAAGGACGCTTTATTCTACGTATGTGAAACAAAAACAACCGCAATACAATGTTTTATAGTTATTTGAAAACCTATGTACCCGCATGTTTCTTGTTTTTCTGAGTTTTCTGATGATTTATTGCATCTGTTGCGCTTTGGATTAAATTAAGTTTTATGTAATGTACCAACCTCTTGCTTTATCGGGTTCAGCATCAACTTTTCCTCTGTTATCATGACGGTTGAACATGAAGACAAGCAGCCACGTGATGGAGCGAGACCCGTAGCGCTGGCACGCTCCACACCCTCACAGAAAGAGGCAGAAGACCTCTTCAGGCTCTTCGGGCTGAACGGGGATGCAGTGGACCTGAGCGAGCTCTCTGATTGGCTGTGTTTGTCAGCGTTGATGTTAACATGCTCTTTTTCTTCCTCTAAATGCGTTTGGTTATTGTGTCTTTGTGTTGCAGAGGGCCTCTCGGTCGATTTTAGGTGAGACGCCTTTTTAATGTTCTGGTTTATTTCCTCCTCCTCTTTCTTCATGGGCTCCTCGTTGATTTCTTCAGAGAAAAAAATTAAAGGAATGTAAATTAAAAGTGATGCCACTTATCTAAATAACGCTGGGTGTCTTACCACTTCTACAGAGACAACTACAGTCATTTCATCTCACAAATGTTTTCTAGATGACATCTTTTACCCTAAGAACATCAAAATCAGGGTTTAGGCTATTTCTCTGCTCCAAAACAATATGCATTTCTGCAATACATGTTGCAGATGAAAACCCATAGAACAGCTGTACAAGAGAGCTATCAAGGTGTTTGACAGAAAGCCAAATTCATACCACCACTATGCCATCCTTGAAAAACACAATTTCTTGAGTTTTGACAATTTAAAGTGGACCTATCATGCTATATTTTAATAATATAGTGTAGGACCATACCTATATAAGGCATATTTATACTTTTTTTTTTTTCAAAATACCAAACAGATCATGCATTTTAGCCATGCCTCATTTCGCTCAATTTGCACTTTTTTAGCCCTGTTTTTGCAAGGGCTGATTCTGTGAGAACAGCACCACCTACAGGCCTGGCATATGTACTACAGCGTCTCCAGCGCTTTCGAACGGCAATGGCCGTGGCTGTCTCCTCCTGATTGGTGGAGTTGGCCCAATAGCCGTAGCGCCACCGTCCTGACGTCAGGACAGTGTTCAAATCTGGATCAGTTTTTATCAGATCCGTTGCAGCCCCTTTTTTAGAGATTTGGGTATGGAGGAAAATAGAGAGGGTTGTGTTTTCTGACACTTGGTGAGTTCCCTGGAACACCGGGGACACATATTCATGTATAAAAGACGTACAAAAGTGCATTTTGCATGATAGGTCCCCTTTAAAGTCTTTTAAAAGTATGTGTTTTTTTTATAAATGTTTACATGGACTGCCCCCCCCCATCCCTTAGGGGAATTCATCCACAAAAAACACACTGGACTCTGCACTAGGTCAGACACCAGAGGAGACTGTGAAGTCCACCGCAGACGGACCACTTTTGGACAAAATGTCCTCTCCATTAAAGGCAGCTCGTTGTGGAATAGCCTCCCAACTGAGATACGGGATTGTCCCACTCTCAATAGCTTTAAAGGTCAACTCAAATAATGGTTGACAACAATCACCGCTAAATGCACTTTAACACAGGGGTATCTCCTCTTGCACTTTATGTAGCACTTTTATCTTCTCTTGCACTTTATATGTCGTTGCTGCTATATTGTATTACCATGTGATAAATACTTGTGTATGCTGCTTTTGCACTTTTCGCATATCATGTATTTTGTTTTTGCTATGTTTGTAAAATGTAAACTTCTTAATGTTTTATGTGAGGGACTGCGGATGGAAACTAGCTCAAAGCTAAATCTGGCACTGTTACGCTTGACACATTTGAATGTCTTAATTGTTCATTACTGTGCATAGTCCCTGCCAAATAAACGATTAAATGAAAATGATAAAAATTCAAGTTAAAACTTTGTCTTTAGATTTGCTTTATGTCATTACCTCTCTTCACTTTCATGATTCACTTTGGTAGCATTTCATAACAAAAGTCGTCTCATTCCTGAATGTCTGCAGTGTCTTACCAGCCAACTCTTTGTCTTTCAGCCTCCCTCTCCTCTTCCTCCTTACGGCAGACTCGTCCTTTTGTCTCGCCACTTCTCCTCGCTCTTTTTTCTTCTCATTCGTCTTCTCTTCTCCTCTCCCTCCTCCTTTGTCTGGCATCCTTTTTCTCTGAGGACAAATGATATCTCATTTCATTTATAGGCAATGCTTTAAGGTGTTCGCTGTGTATTTAACACATTTGACATACTATAGAAAGCTTTGAGGCACATCTTTGTTTCAGTGACTTTGAGAATGTTCTTAAAAACCCATCATTCTCTGCAGGATTGATATGCTCTCCTCAAACTGATGGAAGCAGCAGCCACAGCTACCTCACAGCATTGCAGAGTACAGAAATCTGTGTAAACCAGTCAATTACTGCAGTACTCACTACAGATGGTAGAGCAGAATGGTGCTGAGTGTCTGCCTCTTCACTGTTAGTCCTCTCCTCCTCTGTCCGCCTCCTTATTGATTCAGCATCACTTTTCGTCTTTTGCCTCTGCCATCCTCCTTCCGTCCTCGCCCTCAATGTCTTCTGTCCATCTGATGCCTCAGTTTTCCCTGGTTTCATCTCCCTTTTCCTTAATGAAATGGTGAACATTGGTCTGTGTGCGTTTGTACAGCTTGTTACTCATTGCTAAGTGTCTGCTATGTTTTAATCAGGGTCATTTTTGAGATTTCCCAGTTCACCTTGTTGTTGCAGCTTCCTCAGCGTCCTTCCTCTTAGTCTTCGTCCTCCTTTTGTCCCCAGTGAGCTCTGTAGTTGCTTCATTTGGGTTGATGTTCTGCTTGCTGCGAAAAAAACATAATCTTTAAACTTTATAGCTTCTCCATGCAAACTTCATTTGTTTCACATTTCCATTTTAGCAACAATTTTCAAGTGTCAGATGGTTATAAGCTTGCAGGTACCATCTCAAATATGATTACTCTTCACATGTTTATTTAAAAAGACGTTAACTTTTTTTAAAGTATAATGATGAATCGCAACTTTTAAAAATGAAGATTGCAAAAGGAGAAAGACTGAGACTCAACGCTCATCTTTATTGCTGACCGTTGAAACTAAATATGAAACTAGAAATCTTGGTGTTCCAAATCCATGAACTAACTCTTTTGAGTAATCTGCTACTGAGGAGATCTGAATGTTATACACACGTACCCTGGTTGATGTGATCCATGGATGCTGCCCTGCTCGGTGTTGCCTGCTCTTGGCGCCTCCTTCCCCACCTGCTCCTTCAGTGGAGGTATGGTAATGTGGTTTTTAATCACTTTTTTCCATGCCACTGCCTCTGAAGTCTTTGTTTTTGTCTCCGTCACAGCCTCTGGAGCAGCAAACAAGAAGTTTGGTTAAAGATAAATACACATTTTAAATAATAATAATAAACTGAAACAGCAGTTTTACCTGGGTCTTGGCTGCTGGGTGAGCATGCATTGATCTCGGTCAATGTGTGAAATTCTACAAGCTGGTGGAAGAAGATAATACAAAAGAAATAGTGTGATATGTTATGTAGATGCTCAATGTCTATATACTGAATTCAAATCTTGGATTATTGTTTGTTTTTCTTTGTATAGTACCTGCAGAAAAAAGATCTGAATCATATAGGTGAGCATGCAATCCAAAACCCCTATTAAACATTTGCATTGTAGTCATTCATTTACCTTGTGTATGGCTTGATGGTGCTGAATGTCACCATCAGGCTCTAACTCTCCACCTGCACACATATGAACAGGCAAATGGTGAGATAGGGGACAAACACAGACAGGGTTGGATTCTATCATGTTGAAATGATGACAGCAAAACTACGCAAACACAAGCAGACGAGTTTGGCCGAGTGTGATGGAAACTTCCGAAGCAATGGAGACAGGACTCAGAGAGACACGAGGAGAGTAGGAGCTTTGATGGCAAACACTGACGGTTTATTTGGAGCTTCGTCCGGAGAATTCACAAGACATGTCGTGCGCCACGAGTTGATACAGCGGATGCCAAACGAATTCTGAAGAACTCTATACCCACGACCCATGTATTTAGCTGGTTCTGAGAGAATAATGAACATGCTGCATAACAAGATAAAGCACTATAACACCTCTATCAGCTGACGCCAACAGGCAGGAAGAGGGAGACAAAACACTGAGAGCACAGCACCCAAGGTTGTGCTCATTGAGGGGAGGACAAATAGACAAACTGGGTCAAAGGTATGGGTCTAGATTAGAAGAATATTTCCCCAACACCTGAAGTAAAAAGATATGATTCTAAACTGTATTGAAGTGAACATGTATTGTTTGAACTGTTTTAAGTAATCCCATATATAATGTCTTCTCACTTACAACTCATTGACCCAGGGATCCTGTTACACACACATACACCTCCTTCCACCAGAGCACACACACATGTTCTTTTCAAGGTTCTTTCTGGGTATCATTATGTTCTTTCTGGGCTCATTATATCTGTATACAATGTTTAATTGTCTGAGAGTAACAGTTTATGTGAAATATTCCATGGGAAAATAAGGGAGTGGATATCGGGGCAGAGATAAGATTGACTTTGACCTTGTGGAACCTTAGAATCTCACGTTCTGGTCAGAACTCTGATTCGCTGTATTGAACCCGGCCAGAGGTGGATCCAACCAGTAAGGACACCTGGGGGAGTGAGCAGCTCACACAGCTCCTCCCCACGGACTCTCTGATTCGCTTCGGAGTAAAATGGGAAGGAAGAGTGGACACATCTCCGCCCCAAAATATGGATATGAATACTGTTGTTTTTGTATGTAAAAATACTTTTTTGTTTGCTGAAAGCTGGTCTAGAGACGGTAAACCGCATCACAAACCTGAAGTCCGTACTTCTCGTTTTCTGAAAGCTGGTCTGTCTACCTGTAAACCGCATCACAAACCTGAAGTCCGGAGTACTCTGTAAAACTTGTATACGTGTTTTGTTTCCTACCAGTAAACTCAGATAATTGTTATAACTTTTGATTCCGGTGTTTTCAATTCCTTTCTTTATTAAATAGAGATCAGCCTCATCCAACGAACGGCGCGGAGGGGGGGCTATGAGCCACCACCAGATAGGTGTTCTGCTCCAACACACCGAGTACAGGTGTCTTGACAGTGTAGCCACAATGAAAATGGTACTGTAAAAGCATCTTTTGTCTCTAAGAAAGAAGACATTTATAGACAGTAAGAAACCTTAAGTGAAGGTGTTAGAAAATTGCAGTTACAGGTACAAGGTATAAGGAGTTATTGAACTATAATGTTTATAAGACCATGACATCCAAACCTGGAACAAAAAGGTTGCAAGCTATGTGTGCATTTGCTCAAGCCATCGCAAATCTATTTTATGATGTACACTAGAAGCCAATCCCAGTACCTTAATGGCATAAACCGTTCTAAAGTTACGAAAGCAAACCACGAAGACTCACACAGAGGTATGGGGGCTGTGGCTCAGAGGTTTTAGTGAGCAGAACGGCAAATCAGGGGGTTAACAGTTTAACACACTGTGGGTGTTTCTCAATGTCGAGGACGCTTGCTTGGTAGCACATGTCTTCCGAGTCACTTGCTTCAGAAGCGAGGCAAGAATCTTTCCTAGCCTCGGAAAACGAAGAATGGTGGAACAGGCTAACAGGTGTGCAGGTGTGCGTCATATGCGAGGCCCCGCCTTAAATGGAGCGCGATTTCTGCCAAAGATTTGGAAATTGGTCCGGGCGCAAAGCATTGTGGGGATTTTAAGACCGCGGAGTCTACACATGTGCAGCCTCGAAATTTCTCGCTACGAAGTACGCCGGCCTCGGTAGAATTCCAAGTATACCATGTAATGAAATATACTGTAATGTAATGTATGGACAGAGTCTGTTTCATATAAAAACCAACATATGTAGCTTGTTACAACGCCAACACGTAAAGACGTTTTCGCCTTAACAGCATTGCTTACCGAACATGCTCCTCTAACTTAAAAATCACAGTGCATGTGTGTGTGCACCTGTATGTGTCTTTTCAGTCTGCAGCACAATGACCAAGGGTAACTTCTCTCCTTCTGCAGATAAAACCTGGAGAGCTGAGAGACAAAAATAATTGTTATTAATTAAATCAGACAACTCAGCATTTCATTTTGAGTGTTGTGTCTAGGCGGTGGCTTCCCTGCAAATATGTTTGACATATTGTGGAGTGATGATTCAATAACTGGCCCTAGAGCTCACAGATGCTGGGGTGGTGGTGGGGCAGAAAATCAGCAGCACTATAGAAGCAGGGCAGCAAAAGCATTAGCGAGGCAAAGTGAGAGATGGCAAATCTTGGAGCTTAAAAAGAGGGCGAGGTTTAGGAGAATGTGCGTGGTTGTTTGTTAGAGGGGGTAGGGCATGTCATGTGTTTATGTATCAGCATAGCTCAAGTTTGCTTTGCTATAATCTATGAATCTCTCCTCCAGATGTGCAGATTTTAGATATGAAAATAGAGTTTTCACATGAGGGCTTACTACGTGTACCTTGCTCCTGAGTGTCATGGTCATGGTTGTCATTGTACAGCGAGAGTTGAATGATCTCCCCATCAGGACCCAAGATCAGGCTGCCAACAGGTTTGCCGTTCTGCAAATCTGACAATACATATCAACTCTGAAAACCGGAAAAATACACCCTTTGACAGATGAATGGTAGCATAACTGTATCTTTTGCTACTTGGATTATTGTATTTATATGTCAAAAGGTATGGGTGAACTAGTCTGTTAAGTTTAATAACCCTACATGCAATTAAAACAGTATACATTCTTGGAGAGACCGGGTTCATGTCCGTTTTCCAAATCATTCCATTGTAGGTCAACTTCCACATTTCAGCTTAGATGCAAAAAGTAATCTTAAATCACCCAAATTTCATAGAAGGATGAATATGGAAGTAAACAACGGAGTTTCAGGCAGGGGGGGGGGAACTCCCTCTTGAATCTTTTTCATGCATAAAACGTATAACACACTACAGGAAAGGGAAAACCCCCAAAAACATAGTAGGGCCCATAAAGCTCTCCATACCTCTCAGCTCTAGAGGCAGAATACCCCTAACCACGCCTCTGCTAGGATCCCTCGATTTACAGGGATTCTGGAGGTCAAGCTGTCGGTTCTGTAAGAAGGCCAAAGAGCTCTGCTTGCCTGGGCCTTTCCGTCCTGCAATACTACCTGCTACTGGAGGAGGAGGCAGAGGAGGGTCTAAAAGGAGAACCCACGATGTAAAAGAAGACACGAAGAACATGGTGAACATTTGCAGCCAATAACAAATATTTTCCCATGTCCCCCTACCACAACCTGAGATGCTTTAATAGATACTAGATATATGGTCCAGATGAGAAAAAGAATGTGTCTTTGTTACCCTCCTTTTCAGGAAACAGCAGCGGGAGGAACCGAGGCTGCTGATGGAGTATGTTCACGGTGCGACTTTCTGCTATGGGAGGAAGGCAGTGTGCAGTGTGGTGTTCATCAGTCCTGGCGCCCTCCCATTTCGGCTGAAACATTCAATATAGATCGGTCTGACATTTGGAATTATTGCTCTCATATCCTCTCATGTCATGGCAATGACAGAAATTAGGATTGCAGTCAATTCAAAACAAATATTGATTGCCCGGGGATGGGAATATATCATAATAATAGTGTGTAGTTTTCTAGTAAAAAGTATTTTACTGTTTCATTTTACTGATATTTTAATAAAATATGAAGAGAGAATGTAGTGAAGTAATTCCAATAACAAAGAAATGATGTTTCAAGAAAGTAAGCAATTAACTGCCAATCAAAGTTCACTTGAATGAAAAATGAATTCATTTCTATTTTTGAGCCATTCGTCCATGTTTTGTTTTTACAAAGAAATATTGACGTAAATTGCAGCAGTTTCTGTCATTTGCATTTTTTTTCATATGTTGCGACTATGTAGAGCAGAGGTGTCAAACTCAAGGCCCAGGGGCCAAATCCGGCCCGCCACTTCATTTGATGTGGCCCACAAGAGCTTGCAAAGAATATAATACGTTTATTATAAGGTCACGTGCCGCTTTACAGGAGCACGTTGCCCATAAACTACAGGTCCCATAATGCATCTCATTTTGTGAGATGCGCACTGAAGAGACTTGCAATTACTTACTAGACTTCTGCTTTCAGGCGTAGTTAATTATGAAGTTATTACCCTATCCGATAATAATCCAATGCAGAGGAAATATTGTAAAATAATACATTATTTTATATATATATTATGTATATTTATCTATGTATTTATATATAGTCTTAAAGTTACCACCGGCCCTTTGAGTGCAACCATAATTCTATTGTGGCCTGCGATGAAATTGAGTTTGATACCCCTGATGTAGAGTTTTAAAGATGATAGTGAAAAATGCATATATATTTTTGTTGTGCTCGAGAACCAAATATTTGCAATTTTAAAGTAAATTTGAAAAAATATGGATTTTAATCCAATAAGGATAAAGATGTCTGTGTTGAAAAAAGGGATTAAAATGGTTTGTAAGACATGCACTGTTTTCTCAGTTCCTCAATAAAATGTTATTTATAAGTGGGATGTGGGTGAGCACTGAGATACTGATGTTATATTATAATGTGGCTAAATGTTTAGTATGCTTATGTTTAGTAAAACTGAAGACTCTGAACAGTCTTACCCTGGCTGTGTTCTCCAAGCAGGGTCGATGGCTAGCTGTTTGTCCCACTGTCAGAGGAGGAAGCAGGCCTGTGTGGGGAAGTAAAAAGAGCCTCATCTACATCGACTGCAGAGGAGTTGTATGTAAAGGTTTGTTAAATGCTTCCTGACTAGAGAGCAGTCAGGAAATAAATTTTTTTTAGAAATTCAAAGTACAGTATGAGGAGGTTGAAATATATTTCTTAATTCATTATATGCCAAAATTAAATTAAGCTTATGCTTTGAAGGTTATGCTTTGAATGAATATCTAGGTTTTTTTTTTTTTAAATGTTTCCCGATGTTACACCATTTCCTGCATAAACCACGCCAAATCCTGGTCTTCTCTCTACAGAAGAGGATTAGGGACACATTTGAAAATGTATTTGGGAACCAACCAAAAGTTTTTTTGTGTGTGTATGTTGTGAAAAAAGTGAAAATTCTGATATTAAAGTCAGAATCTCAGAAATCAAGAAAATAAAAAACACTTTTGGTCAGATCTAAAAACAAATATTCACATGTGGCCCTTATCCTCTTTCATATCTATCCCATTACAGAGAAAGAGAAAGATGAGTATGTTTGTTGAACAGATGCAGATAATAAAGGTCTCTGCAAATCTTTACCCCACCCCACACCCACACCACACACACACACAACACACACACACAACACACACACACACACACACACACACACACACACACACACACACACACACAACACACCACACACACACACACACACACACACACCACACACACCACACACACCACACACACCACACACACACACACACACACACACACACACACACACACATCCTAGCCTTCATGTCTGCTCCCCCTTATCGATCTTTCATAGTTGCCTTCATCATGAGTTTTGAGACTGTCTTGAATGGAGCCTATATCATCTGCCATATCATGGACCCACTTCATGTTTGAATGATGGCGCTCCCCTCCTGTACTGTGCTGTGAACGTCCAGCATGCTGCCGAGTCCGACTCATGTCTAGATAAGTCTGCGGTGTGTGGAAAAGACATTTGGCCAATAGGTTAAACATAACATTACAACATTTCACACACATTCCCAAAGATAAAGGAGCATTGAAAAACACTTCAGTCATTAGCATGCACCAGAGGTTCTTCTAGTTCTTCGGGGGTCATGGCTGGGGGGGGTTGCACCTGTGAAGTTGGAGTCCTGTCTCTGCAGGGTATCTGGAGGAACAGATCCAACCGGACCGTTTTTCTGATACCTTGCCCCTCCTCTTTAACTGCGGAGAAGTTTCAGTTTTTTTAACAATTGATTTGGTAAAGTTGACTTTGTGCACTGAAGCTCCTGTGTGGTTTTTGTTTTCAAGTCTTGCATTGCTACTTATTGAAATTAAAAGACCAAGTGCATCAGTCATTTAATAATTTAGTATTCTGCCAGATAACTTTTCTTGATTTTCACTTATTAATTATGAAATTGTTGTTGCGACAAATTAAAGGTGGGGTAGGTACGTTTGAGAAACCGGCTCGAGATACACTTTTTGTTATATTCCATGGAATGCTCTTAACATCGGGATAGCAATGAATATCTTAAGTGCTTTGACAAAAAATCCATAAAAAAATGTCATCTGTGGAAGCCGTAATACTGTAAAAAGCACGACCAATCATTTTAGCCGGCCCGGCTAAAATAACTGGATGGCCTACCTGCCTGTCAGCCTTCCATCTGTGCACAAACTTATCTCGTGCCCTCATTGGTCATGTGCGCGTTCGTGTGTGTTGGAGGAGGGGCTCTATAAGGAAGTGGCAGATTTGTTCCGGCTGTGTTTTTTCAAATTCTAGCGCACTCGAGCTGGTTTCTCCAAAATTACCTACCCCACCTTTAAGCTGCATATTAGATTATTTTATACACATTTGTTGAGTTTCCCTGGCTCATACCAACATGTTATAAAAGCTATTTTCTAATTTGGATGTATCCACCTATATACATTTGCATCAACCTATATGTCTATCTATCCCTCTTTTACCTTCAGGTTGGTTCCCCAGGAATTCAGTTATTCCCTCTGCAGGAAGCCGCTCAGGCTTAAATTGTCCAAGCAACTCTGGACTTGGCTGCACTTGTGTCGTGCAAAGAGGCGGGGGAATGGGATGATGAAGGTCTGGAGCAAGAGGGCGATGAAGAGGAGGAAGGAAAAGTGGACCGAGTCTGGAAGAGGTGTACTGGAGGGAAGAAAAACATTAGTGCGAGCTAGTGCTGTTAACAAGGTTAATGAGAGTGCTAGGGAGGAACAAAACAATTCATTAAAAAGCAATGAGCTAAAACAGGCTGTAAAGCATGTAGAGCTGAAAAGTTGGGTGTATGACCAACCTCTTTCTTACTTTACAGTTTAAAGTGATTCAATGTTAATATAAATAATATTGATAAATGAATTTAGTTTACCTAAATATAATTGATGTGTCATTAGGTTATTATTTTTCTATTTATAATTCAAGCCTGAATTGTCTACAGACAAAATCTTGAACATTAGGCATACTGTACATAAACAACATGCATACATTTATGGGTATTACACACACACATATACAGTATATATACACATGATAAATGCACATATTCGTTTTCCTTATACCTGGGTGTTGCTGTAACTCAAAATGGCTGCAGTTAATTCCTTGAGGGTGCTCAACCGCGACTTGTCTTGTTGAGTGTATCGCCGTACAACTTTCTGCTTTCCATCTCTGGTCACTGCGCTGGTTTCAATGGTAACCAAGTCCTGGTGAGAGAAGGTCATTAAAAAAATAAACAAAAAAACAAACCCTTGGGCTTAGACACACATTCACAACGCCCCACTCACTATATAGATACTTCAGTGTAATGGACTATTTATTGAGCACATAAGCAAAATAAAAGAAATACTTGACACTGTACTTGATTGAGCCGTTAATTAGGAAAATTGTGGACCACCCATAAGTAATGCTGACGTACCTTTTCGTCAAAAACTTTATAAAAAAGTGAAGACATTGCACTTTGGAGGGACAAGTAATGAATCACTAACATTTGTAAAAGAGGTTTGTTTGGTTGATTTATGACAACATTGCTGCTGATAAGTGTGTTGGACGCTGGGTGATAGAAATCCCCAATGCATTTTGGTATGGTTTGCAGTGATCATAGATATTTCAGTGCATTGTGGGAGACAAAAAGCCCCCTTTAAAATATTCCACAAATTCTAATTACAGACAGAGACTTGGTGGCAGAGATAAATGCATCTTGAAAGTGAGGTTTATACAGGGAAAACACTGATTGTCCTTATTCTACAGCCATTACATTACCAATATCCCTTGTTACATTAGGGCCAAACTTTGTAGTTACTTGCATAGACACACACACACAAATACCTGGGAATAGAGTTGAAGTTGGCCCCGACGGGTGCTGTAAGTCTTTGGAAGGGCTGACTCTTCATTCACAATCTGGCGGCCGCTGTTGGACAACCGCAGAAGAGAGTCCCGGGACTTCCAGATAAAGTAATCCTGTTGGTCGATTGATTCAAAATATCGAATATATGTTGAATGGAATGATGGACTGATTGATTAATGAATGTCTGCTTGATTGAAAGCTTGCCATGAGAGAAGGCATAATGGAAATACATTTCATAACATAAATATTAAACCAGTAAAAAAAAAAAACTAATTGACCAACATACAATTTGGGTATATTTGAATAATGTGTCCTCCAACATTGGAAGGCTACTATTAAAGCATTTGCAAGTGTGAGAGCACCTGTGGTGTGAAGCAGACGTCCAGCCGACCATCATGCCTCCCTGTGTTTCCGTTTGACGAGACTAATCGTCCACACCCACGACTAAGCAGGGACAGAGAGAAATCCTTCATCATGTCTTATCTTCCTGGAGGATGGAGGGGTCATCAAGGAGGACAGGAAATAATCCGGTTATTACATTACATGTTACTTGTTAGACGCTTTTATCCAAAGCGACTTACATACCCACAGGAGCAATTTGGGGTGAAGTGTCTTGCCCAGGGACACAACGACATGCTGACTGCAGTGGGGTTTGAACCTGTGACCCCCTGATCCAAACACCTACGCACAACCACACCACGCCACACACCGTTATCAATACACCGTTATCAATACATTTCAAGGTTAGAAATCTAAATCATTAGAATGATGGTTCTAGTATATCAGGTAAACCCACTTGATTTGGTCATATAAACTTGGCTGTTACATTTCTGTTGAGTTTTTCTTTTCTTGTCTGTGTTGGTTTTTTATATGCAGCTAAATTCACAACTTTTATTTGCCTGTGGATGTGAGGGTATAGTGAATTGGGTTGAATATTGTTGAAGTGTGTGTTGGTACTGTGAGAGCCTGGCAACCGGTTCAGGTTTACCCTGCTTCTTGTTAACCAACGTGTTCTCGGTACGGCTTCAGGTTACTGTAACCATAAGAACGATAAAAATGCATGCATTTTGATCATTTAATTAAATTCTAGATAAATGTAAGTGTATAGTTAGAAACACTTACATTTATCTGGAATTTAATTGATGCGGTGTTATAGAATAAATAATGAATATTATATTATCTCGTTATAAAAATGCATTGAATACTGCAAGGTCACTATAATACAAAAAAATCAAATAGAAATTATATTTAGCTATTGAAACCAGTGCATGTTAAGTCATTGTGGAGCACAATTCATTATCTCTGTCTGTATCCCCGTCTAACCACACTTTACTATAAAAAGGAATAACAGTGCCTTTAATGCAACAACTCCATATAAAAACGGAAGAGGCAAACTTTCAGTGAAAGTCATAGTTAAGCTTTTAGTTTAACTAGTTCTCGATCCGACTAACGGTGAATATAACAAAAAGAACAGTTACTCAAAAATGCCTTGGAAATGAAAATGGTATGCACCCTATATTTAGTTTATCAGATCCTCGTCATATCTTTTAGATTTTTTGCACGTTTTAAAGCATACATGGGCATTAAAAGACAAAACATTGGACATACCTGTCTCCCTGTGAAGACTGCCCTGTGTGTGTGATTGATTCCTGTTGCTAGGTTGTAGAGTCGGTACTTAGTGTTCTGTTGCCGTGGCACCACACACACAGAGCACAAAAACAAAATATAGGTGAGAATCAGATAGATCATAATTTTCCTGCCGGACAGGGTGTAAAGGAACGGCAGGATGAGGCGGGAGGAACTGCTGGAGGGGTGGGAAAGGGAATTGCTCCAGGTGCTGTAGGCGTGAAAAGGAACTGGGTCAGAGAAGGGGAAAAAAATACCTGCAGGATGGGTGAGCAAAGGACCCGCCGGAGGGGCATGAGCCTGGGGGCAGGATCTGGATCATTCAGAGATCTCAACATGATGCTTCACATTATGATTTTTAAAAAAGGGTCTGATTGAATGTTTAGGAGTGGATTTATCACCCGACTCAAATTGGGTTCATGCATGCTCCCATCCTGCTACTTACCAAGCTCTTTCACCTTCTTCAGTTTTGTTTCACCAGGCAGCTTCACAATCACATGTGTTGCTCTACAAGTCACCAGAGGTGACGGGTTTCTCAGACAGATTTGCCTGTCATGTTCTTCTGCAGCAGAAGGTCAAAGTAATGGGCTTTCAACTTTTGTTTCTTGGCCTAACATGGAAGCCTAATGTTTGAATAAAGTTCTAGAGCAGCGGTTCCCAACCTGTGGGCCGCAAAGGCATTGCAAGTGGGCCGCCAAATAATTTGCAAAACATTATGATTTGTTTGGAAACATTCTCATTAAGATTACTTTCTCGATCCTCCTTGGCAACAGTCATTACAGTCCTTGACAGCGGTCGGTTCTACTGGATTTACAACGCGTCACATGTTCTGATTTGACCAGAACTTTATTTAGCCTCCGTAATGTTTATGGTTGAATGTGGGCCGCGAACATTTTTTAGATTCTTAAGTGGGCCCTGAGTTGAAAAAGGTTGGGAACCGCTGTTCTAGAGGCACTTATATAGACAAAAATCCCAAGAACAATCACTATATAATATTGGGCTTAAGATTTGAAGTGAGTGAATCAAATTCATTAAACAGCTTCACACTTACATTTTAGCAAAGATTAGGTGAAGCAAATACATTTGTTGGGGGCCTCGGGCCCAACCTACATTTTAATACTGGTCACTTTGGATAAAAGTAGTGTACTACCCATTTAACAGATTGTTTCCAGGAGCAGAACATTTAAAAAAAGAACATGTACACGTTCTTGTACTGTGCACAGTTTTCCAGTAGAGTCAACATAAATAATTTCAACGCCAAAATCCTGCAAACATTTTTAGAAGTTAGTTTTCACACTAAATTACAATGCTTTCTTTGATGTTCAACTTATATCTGGTGACTTTGATATCACTACAAACTAAGTAGTGGGGGTCTTCTGTTTTCTCACCAAGTATCCTTTGTTATTAAAACCGGCGCTGTTGTTATTAGAACAAAAAAAAAAAACTACTGTTTTTGCTATGTTTATTTTAATGTCATTTTCTTAAATGGTTTATGTGAGGGACTGTGGATGGAAATTAGCTCAAAGCTAAATCTGGCATATTTACGCTAGACACATTTTATTGTTTTAAGTGTTCATTGATGTGCATTGTCCCTGCTAAATAAATGATAAAAAAAAGAAAACACATGACTGTATACCGTTCCAGTATTATTAGAATATCATTGACGTTAAAGAGTAGACACTATTCATTTAAAAACTATTTTCCCAATTAGTATGTTTTAAACTTATTTGAGTGCCATGAGCCCATAGTCTTCTGCATTAACTGCAATTATTCCTGGTTTCCATTCAATTAAAGCAAATTTCTTCCTTCTGTGCCGTTTACACTGGAAAACACCCATTGGGTGAAAATAATAGAAAGTGCATTTTTCATGGAAGGAATTTATAAATAGAAAAACAATAGTCTCAATTGAATTACATTTAAGCATGGTGTTCATGGGACCGGGGATGAGGGAGGGGCTGTCGTGGGGGCCGCTGTCGTCGGTGCCGCTGTCGTCGGGGCGGCTGTAGTGGGTGCCGCTGTCATCGGGGCGGCTGTAGTGGGAGCCCCTGTTGTCGGAGGGGCTGTCGTCGGAGGGGCTGTAGTCGGAGCCGCGGTCGTCGGCAGGGCGGTAGTCGGAGCCTCTGTCGTCGGAGGGGCTGTAGTCGGAGCCGCGGTCGTCGGCAGGGCGGTAGTCGGCGCCTCTGTCGTTGGAGGGGCTGTAGTCGGAGTCGCTGTAGTCGGAGGGGCTGTAGTCCGCGGGGCGGCAGTGGGAGCGGCTGTAGTCGGAGCGGCTGTAGTGGGGAACGTGATGACAGCAGCTGTAGTGGGGGCCGCTGTAGTGGGGGCCGCTGTAGTGGGGGCCGCTGTCGTGGGGGCCGCTGTAGCGGCTGTAGTGGGGGCGGCTGTCGTGGGGGCGGCTGTCGTGGGGGCCGCGGTAGTGGGGGCCGCGGTAGTGGGGGCCACTGTTGTCGGGGGGGCAGCGGTAGTGGGAGCCACTGTTGTCGGGGGGGCAGTAGTCGGAGCCACTGTTGTCGGAGGGGCGGTAGTCGGAGCCACTGTTGTCGGAGGGGCGGTAGTCGGAGCCGCGGTAGTCGGAGGCGCTGTCGTCGGAGCTGCTGTAGTCGGTGGGGCGGCAGTGGGAGCGGCTATAGTCCGAGCGGCTGTAGTGGGGGCCGCTGTCGTGGGAGGGGCTGTAGTGGGTGCCGCTGTCGTCGGCAGGGCGGTAGTGGGAGTGGCTGTCGGCGGAGGGGCGGGAGTGGCTGTCGGCGGAGGGGCGGTAGTGGGAGCGGCTGTCGGCGGAGGGGCTGTAGGAGCGGCTGTAGTGGGTGCCGCGGTCGTCGGAGGGGCTGTAGTCGGCGGGGCGGTAGTGGGAGCCGCGGTCGTCGGAGGGGCTGTAGTCAGCGAGGTGGTAGTGGGAGCGGCTATAGTGGGTGCCACGGTCGTCGGAGGGGCTGTAGTCGGCGGGGCCGTAGTGGGAGCGGCTGTAGTGGGTGTCGCGGTCGTCGGAGGGGCTGTAGTCGGCGGGGCTGTAGTCGGCGGGGCGGTAGGGGGAGGGGCTGTAGTGGGAGGGGCTGTAGTGGGTGCCGTGGTCGTCGGAGGGGCTGTAGTGGGAGGGGCTGTAGTCGGCAGGGCGGTAGTGGGAGTGGCTGTCGGCGGAGGGGCGGGAGTGGCTGTCGGCGGAGGGGCGGGAGTGGGAGCGGCTGTCGGCGGAGGGGCTGTAGGAGCGGCTGTAGTGGGTGCCGCGGTCGTCGGAGGGGCTGTAGTCGGCGGGGCGGTAGTGGGAGCCGCGGTCGTCGGAGGGGCTGTAGTCAGCGAGGTGGTAGTGGGAGCGGCTATAGTGGGTGCCACGGTCGTCGGAGGGGCTGTAGTCGGCGGGGCCGTAGTGGGAGCGGCTGTAGTGGGTGTCGCGGTCGTCGGAGGGGCTGTAGTCGGCGGGGCTGTAGTCGGCGGGGCGGTAGGGGGAGGGGCTGTAGTGGGAGGGGCTGTAGTGGGTGCCGTGGTCGTCGGAGGGGCTGTAGCCGGCGGGGCGGTAGCGGGAGGGGCTGAAGTCAAAGCCGCGGTCGTCGGAGGGGCTGTAGTCGGCGGGGCGGTAGTGGGAGCGGCTGTAGTGGGTGCCGCGGTCGTCGGAGGGGCTGTAGTGGGAGGAGCTGTAGTGGGAGGGGCTGTATTCGGAAGGGCTGTAGTCGGAGCGGCTGTAGTGGGAGCCGCGGTCGTCGGCGGGGCGGTAGTCGGCGGGGCGGTAGTCGGAGCGGCTATAGTGGGAGCGGCTGTAGTGGGAGCGGCTGTAGTGGGAGCGGCTGTAGTGGGTGCCGCGGTCGTTGGAGGGGCTGTAGCCGGCGGGGCGGTAGTGGGGAGGGGCTGAAGTCGG